CYTYCCKYCTTTYCGCAGGATACTGARCAAAAACGGAGCGGGAATTTCTTCTTTCTTGAAGACTGARGCTTGCTAAGGGCAGCACCAAGGATCTTCACCACAGTCGCGGCTGTTCAATCACATGTCAGCCAAGAAATCTTGCAACTCGCCCRGGCTTGGTTCCAGTCTCCATGCCGGGGTTTGTTAGAGAACGATGGCTGTGTATTGGATTCTTGGTAAATYCAGTCTTACARCSCTTTTTAAATKTTCTTTTTCGTAGTTTTACGTGTTCGTTTTCGTAGTTTATTTAGTGCATGTATGGGTAGTGATAATAATACTCCACTTTCGCATTCTCCTATGCTATGTATTAGCCTCAATTGTTTGTAAARTAATCCCTAGTGTGAAAAATCTATTTCTCTTTCTGTTAGTTTCCCAAACATTTTCGTGTCTATCTACCAGCTTTCTTGGAAACGCAAGATGTTAACTAGTTTTGAGGCTGATACACAGAAAAGCGGAGAACACGACATTGGAGTATTAGTTAATTTAAAAAAGGTAGAGTCTATCAGAATACAGAACCATATTTTCTTCCTTYAAAATGGCATCAGTGCTGATTTGAACCATACACAGTCGTCGTTCTCTTATGATCAGATCCCCAGCATATGGAAACCAAGTCAATACTATAATAAACCAACAAGCGAGAATGCAATTTCTAATAGAAATCAAGAAATCTCTTCAAGCAAGAAATTGAAAGAAATGAYCGGCAAACTATGCCGTGCTCAAGGAACAATGATCAATTATTGAACGAAGTACTGATGTAGCGAACATACRTTGTACCTTACTAAAAGAGCTATCTATAAACCCCTCCCTCTCATTCTGACACTCAGTATTGATTGAATTTTGTGTAAATGTGCTATAGTGGAAACCAATAAACTGAAATAGTCCCACAAACATTGTGGTAGAGGTTGCGTTCCTACCGTGAAATACTAACTAATATTAGTGAAGCCTTTGTCTTTTGGTGGATCATCGCTTGCGCTAACGTTTCGTAAAACAAATGCGTGCGAACAATGTGGGCACGCAACGTCTTTAAAAATGCTCATGCGAAAACCAGCTGCCGATTGTACAAGGGTGAATAGCAGCTATCYACAGCTAGGATAAATATCCTTATCCAGTTGATAATACATAAAAAATCTATGTAGAACTTTACCTCTATGTAGTGGATAACTTTACCTATGCACGCACTCTTCTACCATAGCCTGCGTAGCGGCCCTAAGGGGATTGGGGAGGGCCGGCCGAGCGGGGAGTGGGGAGGAAAATAGGAAAATTTTCCTCCCCACTCCCCGCTCGGCCGGCCCTCCCCAATCCCCTTAGGGCCGCTACGCAGGCTATTCTACCACCAAGCCCCTGGCCAGCAGCGCGCGYGGTAATCAATGACGTAATATCACTCATTGTGACGTTTCAAATCATTAGTGGATTAGTTTTGGTTTGATCGGTGCATGAAAAAGTCTGAAAGCAAAAAACAWTAATTTACCATGAGAAACCTTGGGCAAACAAGAAGGATTTTTCGAGAAAACTGATATCACTTGTCGCCAAAGAGAGAACAAAAAATAACACAAGAAGTGGCTTAAAAAATCTCGGCATTTTGAATATTTTGACAACTGCTGGAATTATCCGATTGCTCAAGGAATTAGAAGCCTAAAAATGAATGAATTATCAAGTCTACAACGATAAAGAGTGCTAGCGCTGAGGATCTAGCAGTAGGGAAAGAGAGTTACCCAACTAGAGAAGAGCAACCAACAATGAGCCCCGTCAACAGGCGACCATTCAGTGAAGACTGCAAAGACCACAAATACCAAAATGAAGAAACGTCCTATTATGAAAGGTGTGGTCGGAAATATCCCTCGGAACATTATCCAATCAGGTACGTAGTTACATCTACAGTACCATTGATGATCATTTCATATCCATGATAACGTCAAGTGAGTCTTATGAATTAGTTCTTTATTCGGRGCGTACGCAATTAAGTGCAGAAAAATGACAATGGTACGATTTGTATTGACTTTTGCTCTGATAAYTGGGATAGCAACATTTGCAGGTAATGTATACTATAAGCGTATCGCTTTATGCCTAAAAGATTCGGTCAAAAAAAACAAGATCAAAGTTATATTGATCAGCAAGAGTCACTCTAAACTTTGTAAACGCATGAGGAAGTTGATGGCATTCTCCTTAAATCAACTGAGTGATCGTACGAATTTCTAAGTCAGTGAAATTTTGCCTTCCCTCAATAATCAAATTTAGGATGTTTGTACAAGATGCTTTAAATACAGTTTGGAAGTCAAATGGGTACGCAGTGAGAGAGATGCTAATCATAAACATTCCAGAAGTTACGAGACTTGGGTTTGTTTTGATGGTGTCTGCGAGATTGTAGACGTTGGMGAATTATATCCTTGAAACAGCACGCAAAATAATAATAACGATAATATCCTCATGGCTGGAAGTCATCATGATATGCGCATAGTTTTTATACTTACTGCGTGAAATAATAGATGTATTGTTGAATTACTTTTCTCTGTAGGCATCCTTAATTTATTCTTATTATTTTTCGCGCGAACCTTCATAACACATGTCGGATGAGATGGACYGACGTCATAATTACTTTCATTCATTCTMAGAACGCGCATGCCCAGAAGGCAAAAGGTATACAAAGTACGGGAGGAGTCCCATAACGTGTGCTAACCTCTATCATCAAGTCCATACGCGTTCAGTAACGTGTGTACCGCGATGTATTTGTCGTCGTGGTATGGTAGAAAACAGACAGAACAGATGTGTTTTTCCTTCTCGTTGCCAATGTGAATACCRAGGCAGGATATTTAAGGTAAGGCATCATGCAGGCTTGGTACACAGCAATGTCAAGGGGAAAATAAAACAGAAGTATATCTACCCAGGGTTCTATGGGACGTGGGCAATCAGCGACGCCATTTTCTGCCACAAAGCATGATGGGAGATAAGGTGAAAAGGGTCGTCTTTCTTTTCGTACACGTTTAACGTCCACACATAATCACAAACCGTCTTTTCAGGGTATATTTTGACGGACATATAAAAAGTGATATTTCCCGGCATGCTTTGTTTAACAAGATGGCGTCGCATTCAACAGTCTGTAATCTTGTTCTCTTACAGCCAGGTGAGCGGTATATTTCGACTCGCGGTGAAGACTGYTATCGATGTAGCTGTACTCGTGGTCGCATGTTATGTGTTCAAGGCTGTGTTACATACAGATATGCTGCAGGAAATCTCGCCAARCCSCCTGTACTCGCAAAGCCAGTAGAAAACACACATGAAAGGCCTACATACATAGAAGAGTAAAATCTACACTATCTATAGACGTTCTAAAGCCTTGTCTACCTGACAGAAGATGTCCCTTTATCTGCAATCCGATTACGCGTGGAAAGGGTAAGACATCCGTTGCCGATGTATTGGAGCCCTTCTACGAACTGCATGTAGTAGGACATCTGCAATATGTGCTTATGGACAAGGTCTAGAATATCAGTAGCCATTTGCTTAACRGTTAAGCTTAAAGCTGATAAAATCAAAGTGTAATCATCATTTGTAGTAAAGTGGGAAGAAAATAGTAATTATAGCAAYATAAATGAATATAGCGCAACTGAAACTACCCAACAAATATCAAGAATTGAAAGACATTTCACGTTTATTCCTACTTTGTCGATATTTTTGTAACAAATTTTCTTTTAAGGAAAAAATGATTTCATTGACCAAGYATTTAGTCCACCATTAAAACGTAATGAAAATTCCAGTGTCTTCGTGTTGGCGAACAAAGTTTCTCGCAATGGGAGACGGCTCTAAGGAWTTTCATCCTCTTATCTCCCGGCTAATTGCTTTAATCGTATAGTATGCTGTAGTTCACGATTAGCTTTCCGAGCGACATCTCGTTGAACTTCAAGGTTTTCGGCAATCCGTCGTAAAACCTTCGCAAGTCGTTCGATTCTATCGACGGCACTACGATACCTTGAATTAGCCATTTGTAAATATTTTTTCAATTGAGCCAAAACTTCTAATCTCGACTGTCTCTTTTCCTTGTCTAATTCTCGCTTCATGAGCTTGAGTCTAAGAGTTTCGCTAGATCGAATAAGGCGATTTTCTAAAATCTTTCTCTCATCGCTCGCGATAGATAGCCTTTCATCGACTTCGTCAAGACGTTTGACGACCATATCCCTCTTATCCGCAAGTACCGCCGCGTCGCTATTCACCTCTAGCTCCATCACTTCTAGATTTGTGATCATGTCTTCCCAAGTTTCTTCATTGAATTGATTATTTACACGAATATAAATGTCTTTGTTTCTTTTGCATAAACTTCGCATCGCCGTTAGGCGTCTCAGCGTCCGCTCAAGTATAATTCCATTGATAAATAGCTTGTCTTTGAGAGCCGACAGCTTGTGGCTGAGATAAAAGCATTTTTTCTTGGCAACTTTAACTGTTTCTATAGCTTTGTTGGTCTTCCTCCTCGCCGCCATTTCTCGCTGTTTTGCATTATCGATTTGCATTACCATGAAACGAAGCTTCGCCTTCACCCCTTCAATGGCGTTGGCCATTTTTGATTCGTTCTTTGAGTAGATTCTGTTCAGTTTCGAGTGTTTTTGAATGATAACAGTTTATGTCGACGCTGGTTGCCAGCGAATCAGGATCGACTTTCAAGCGATTAATAGTAAACCTTACTGAAAGAAGGACTTAGTAGTGTTTGCACAACGATCAAATCTTTTGTTGTCGACAAACCATAGTCAAACAAAATGAAGGGAATCTGATTTTACACGTACATGTCTTTACTGATATAACGAGCTACAATGTAGCTGTAGAAAATATTCACTATATGTGACAAGTATACTTATTAGGACACTCCCTTTCAAAAATTCCAAGTATAATAAACTAAAAAACGTGGCTTAAAACAAAGAAATCAATAATTTAAAAACGCGGCTTTTGACACTCGGATAGTCTGAAATAAACGTTTTGACCCCTTTCAAAATGTAATCTTGTATTTCCTACTTTTCAAACTGGTGATTTAATCGCCGCACTTCAATTCTATTGTACGGTTTGATATATTAACGATGGAACAAACTGTTAGTTTCCTCTGGGTTTTTGATGTACAATGAAGTTAATAATTAATCGTTAGGGAATGGATTAAACAAAAACAAACTTATTTCAAAGAATGCATAAATATCATCAATTTCAAACTTCTACATCTTGAGAATTTGAAAAATCCTTAAAGATTTTTAGCGCGCAAAACAAATATATAGACGAGGGGCGTGAACAGCCGCGTCATCTCGTCGTACTTTTGGAACAAAATGGCGGGAAGGCTTATTATCGCGTTCACTGAGAAGACTGGAATGAACTGTTGTAAAATGCCTTACAGGATTACCTTTATAGCTTTCGATTAGTAGTCCTATTAAGGGAAATGGTAATACAATTAAGAGAAGTACTTGATGTAGTCTAGGCGGAATGAGGTATCGTGTCGACATTAGTACTATACTTCCTGCACTCCAAGGTAGAATTAAAAGGTACCGAGATATTTTGAATAGGACTTCAGCAACACTTGTGAACTATGTTACCACGTAGAGTCCGCAGTAACTTTTTGTTTTGAAGAAAAGTAGTGAATATGCATATCTTCTACCATATTTTAGAACGCTCTTTTATTCTGGTCGATATATTTTCCTTTTGTCACTATTCTTCTTCCACACTTCTCAATCTCCGCCCATCAATTTTCCCTTTTATATGTTCAGATATTACAACAGTCTCCCTGTCTACTGTATTTAGGATTCTCAAATTCCTCAAATACACAGACTGAAGACTAATAAATACAAGACTGAGATTTCACGAATTTTTATTTCCGTCGGTTTTCATTTAAATTTAAAATCAATACAAAATTTGCTACAACGATTGTCCCTAAGTATGACTAASATTCATCTAAAACACAGGAAAAGAGATTTATAAGTTAAAGAATTCAATTAATTTTAGGCTGAATTTAAGGTATGGGTGTTACTGTAAGTCTTAACCAAGTTTACCGCTACCATTCTTGAAAACCAAGGMTTGAAATAAGAGGTTTTGGAGTATTASCTGTACATCGGTTAAGTTGACTGACCAAAGCGCATTGCTAATTTCTTTAGATCCTAATCCCTCTTTCGMCATGAAAACAAATAATCAGCACTGAGCTCAAGTCAAGGTTCAGTCATAACGTACTACAATCTGATTGGCTAATATTATACACTATTAATTCCTAAATTAAGAATACTATTCAAGCTCCTACTACCACCACTGCAAGCCTTSAATAAAATCTAAGTGTTAAATCAGCTCTACTTTTAATAACACTTCAGCCCATTTTGGCTTATATTTGGACTGCATGTCACAAATGATGTTTACTTGTTCTGAGTGGGTAGTCCCCAGGTGCGAGGGAAACGTCGGCAGCCTTTCTTAACTAACATTTTGATGTAGATGTAGGCGAGTACAGCACGTATGAACATTAACCATCCTGAATGAAAAGAGATAAAAGGAAAAAATGAGAATGAATGGAAAACGGATGGAATCAACATTCAATTTTGGCTATGATGATTAGAGTCTATTTCAGTGTAAGAGCCAGAAACATATATTTTCTATTATCTTCTTTGTGCCTCAAGTATTTACACCTACTTGYGAAAACGTTGTCATAGAAAATGGGACATTTGTATTTAGTTAAAAGGAATAAATTAAAAAAGACTAAAGAACATCACTGAGGCTGAACGCTCTCTTTTGTCTTATTTTAATTTATTCCTTTTTTACTAAATTCAAATGTTCTATTTTCTATGACAACGTTTCTGCAAGTAGGTGTATATCTTTTACATTATTGCCCTTTCTTTCTAATTATTGTGTGAACAATGCTTATCAGAGACTACCTTCAGCATTTATTATTATTGTAGCCTTTGTAAAATGCTGTTTAATTCTTACCGAGTGCAAAGAAGATCCACCAAAGCCAATCCTGGCCGTATATCATTGGTGCATCGCTATCCTTGGCTGCTTCCTGTGAAATTTGAAAAAACAAAGTAAAAAATCTTCTCAGTATAATTATTCTTCTTATTTTATAGTTCAATTCCAATTTTTGTCTAAACATTAGACTTCTCTTGCAGCTATTATGTCTCTCAGGCATGGAAATAAGCCAAATAATGGCTGCGATAGAGACTAAACATAAGTAATAAGTTGAAGAACATAACAAGAGAAACTATTTAGAAATGTAGAAAAAAATGGTGGATTAAAAACCATGAGGTCTGCAGATGCAGTTGTTTATCATAATTGTACCTTAGCATCATTTTATCATCATCATCATCATCATGCCACATTAATTTCATCATCATAATCTTTATTATTCCAATCATTATTTTCATGTTTTTTTTTACCTGGAAAATCAACACCCATTTGACCAGGGACAGTCCAAACCCAGCAATGGCACCATAACGTGAAGCAATGGTTCTTGTAAGGCAATAAGCGGCAAAGAAACCAAGCCAATTAAACACAAAAGCCACTAAGTATGAAAAAAAAGAATATTAAAACAAACAATTCACAAAACAAACTTTTACTGCATTATTTCCCCAAGAATTTACAGCCAAAATCCAACCCAGTTTTAGCTTTTCAAAAAACTTTCCAGAACTCTTGATTGAATATATGCATGAGACATTATACAGATTATTATAATACTTACAAGTAAAACACATCAAGAATATCCAATCATTTCCTAAGGTTACTTCTGTAAAGAAAAATAAKAATGTAGACTATTAATAAAAGTCAATGCATTACTACCATTGCAAGATTGCTTTCTCTTTTTTTTAAAAATAACAACTTAGCAAACATAAAATTCAAATAGGAGTGGAAGTTGAAGTAAAACATCCCTGGATATAATCCAAGTAATTGGATGTATTATGAACAACGTACACCATGTAATTCAAGGTTTGTACATTTTAAATCACTTTTTTACCTTGACCTCCATCAAGAAGTATTGCATTTCTTTGCTCCTGTAACAATAAATTGTATGAATATCCTGTAAAACCATGTACATTGATACATCTTCTTAGTAATTGTTTTCTTATGCTATGATTTCCAAAAGAAAATTTGAAAATTGTTTTCTTTCACAGAAGTAACGGTAACTGTTAGGAAACTTTGTAAAAGCCATCAGAAGTAAATATATCAATTCAATAATTTTGGAAACTGACAAGATTATTTTCAGTTCATGGACCATAAGGAAGTCCAATCACTACACCATGCATTAAAACATACCAAATCCTGATCGATTTCTCTGACTCCTTCAGCCTCTTCATAAGTTGGTAGCTTTGAAGCAACTTCATAAGCAGGTGGATTGGTTCTGACTTCTTGATCTATATGATGTTTATAATGACAGATTCAAAAAGATAGAAAACTTAAAATACACTGATAAAGGACACAATGTTCATAAGTAAGTATTTCAACTTTTTACAGTTTCTCAGTTTCATAAGAAACATTATATGATGTATATAATGACAGAAACATCAAATTCATTAATAATTCATAMGGTAAACACAATGGAAAATCATTGCCTTGACTGCATCTTTATATGAGCAAGAGATTTGTCCTGATTTGCATACAACTTTAAYATGCTTTAGCTTATGTTGGAATTTMATAAGCAATATAAAATATTTGCATCYGGCCTTTATGGGCTCTAAAGCTTGCAGCTTGCAGTTTTATATGCTCACAAAGGTCTCCTGCTCATAATTTATATATTACATAAAGCASGTTCTATTTTATTTTATTTCAAGAATGCTGTCTTACTCACCACTGTAATGTTCGCTATTATAAGATGAGTCGTATGGAGGCGGTGGTACATCTGGAGGTATTTCCACATAAACGGCTTGGTTTATACCAGGTTCATCGAGTTCATTGTTGGGTGTTAAGCTAATGGGTTGTGGTGGTGGAGATTGAACTGATAGTCTAACTTCCTGTGGATCTTGGGTTGTTTCCTCACTAGTAGCAACCTATACAACAATATGTTTTATCAATGATATGTACTGTGATAATAGCTCTTTATTGCAAACGTTGTTAAAATCCACAAATTTGCTCCTATAGGTTCTTAGTGCCTCTTACACTCAAAGTCAAGAGACAATATGTTTTATCAATGATATATACTTTAATAACAGCTTATTTATTGCAAACATTATTAAAATACACAAATTCACACCTATTAAAGTTCTTAGTGCCTCTTACACTCAAAGTCAAGAGACAATATGTTTTATCAATGATATATACT